TCTTTAGTGACCATGTACATCTGTTGTAATGGAGACCTTTAGTGACCATGTACATCTGTTTAATGGAGATCTTTAGTGACCATGTACATCTGTTGTAATGGAGACCTCTAGTGACCATGTACATCTGTTTGATAGTGACCTCTAATGACCATGTACATCTGTTTAATGGAGACCTTTAGTGACCATGTACATCTGTTGTAATGGAGACCTTTAGTGACCATGTACATCTGTTTGATGGAGATCTCTTGTGACCATGTACATCTGTTGTAATGGAGATCACTTGTGACTATGTACATCTGTTTAGTGTGATATCTAATGACCTTTTATTTACCACATTCAGAATGTTTTATTCAAAAAATGAAGTTTATGAATATTTATTGAACACACAGTGTGATTGTTAGATATCTTGTATATCTACAGTACAAACGGTTTTATAGCACAACACGTTTCATGGGACACAATTAAAACTACTCTGTACTGTTGTTTTATTAATCGTATAAAATGTAAAACTGGCTATTTTTGTGTGACGGGACGCAGTATTAGCCGGGTGACACCTTGGGCTGTGATGCTGGTCTCTGGGGCATGCTGTGTATTGATTGTGATTCTCAGTGATAAATTACATCCAATCAAGTGATTTCACTAGTTACTAATTAAGTTTCTATGACGACAAAGCAGCCTATCTCAAAATTAAATAACTACTTGTTTATGTCTCCTGGTGAGTTCCTACATCATGTGTTGTGAAATTTGTTTTAATTTCCATTTTTTCCCACTGACTTTCTTGACCCGTGTGATTTTCTCTTAATTACTCTTACAAGTAATTCATGAGTCACCACCACCGCCAACATACTTGCAGTCCTACTCAAGCTTTCTAATCAGCCTTATGTCTTAATTTTTATGCGTGATTTTGATTAGAAATATTGGGATGACAGTCGTGTAAGGCTTGTGTCATTTATTGCAATGCAACAATAGTTTTGCCCTTCTGACATTTTGTAGGACTAGAACAGGATTTCTGTGATTTCATTGGAGATCTTTTTGTATCAAAAGTACATATTTCATTAGAGAGCTTTTGTTACTTTATTTTATATTGTGGTAATGTGACAATACCCACTTCTATTCTCTGTACTTTGTTGCCATCACTTTGAGGTATTCGCCACAATTAGCCTTAGTTGACCTCTGACCTCAAGTTCTAGGATCATGCTGTAACTTTGAGGCAAGTCTGACTTTTAACCTCCACGAAAAATAACTCCACCATTTAATTGTTTTCCATATTGACAATGAGGGAAAGAATAGGTGCATCTTTATGGACAGTACTACTTGAGTGAAAGAAACACTATGTACACATATATTTTCGAATGGAGGTGTTTAATGGCGGTCTCTGAGAGAACACTCCAAACAAATACAAACAGGCATCCTTATACACTGAGTTGAATTTATTTAAATATGATCAGATTTCTACCTATATTCTGTAATACAAAATCTGATTGAGAGTCCAGTGCAATATATTAGGATGGGGTGCCTCATGCTTGTATTCCATTTCACGGTGATACAGAACAAAATATAAAAACATATGTTACCTGAAAATTTCAAATCTAAACAACAAAGTTCTTCAAATAGATCAAAATTAACAATTTGAAAATACTCAGTAATATTGATAATAGATGTATATAGTGTTGAGTCCCTGCAGGTAGGGCGTAAGAACTGTACCTGCTGCCCCCATTGCATGATCGTAAGAGGCGACTAAATTTGGGATCTTATCTTTTCTCTTCTTTCTAAACATTTAACTTTCTTCTTCCTAATGTCTCCTTTGACAATGCCTCACTTTTGGCCTTTAGTTGAGCGTTCGCCCCTGTGAGGAAGGCTTTGGGTTCTGTCCCCTAGCCGAGACATACCAGAGTCTGTAAAAATGGTAGTTTCTACTCCTGCTTAGCGCTTAGCAATTTAGAAGTGGGACAACTGGTTCGTCCGTTGTCAGTATAATGTGACTGGGTGGGGTGTCCTGCTGGGTGTCTTCTGCAGTATGTTTCAGTGAGGTAGCACTATAAATTTGGTATCAGTTCCGCGCTATCACAAGGAGACAAACACGAATATATTGCAGCCTCCCAAAACACACACACATACACTACACGCATGCATCTTGCACACAGGGGAGGCCGTCCTTAAATGACCATAGCTGTTGATAGGACGTTAAACAATACTAAACCAAACCAAACCATTAGTGTTGAGACCTGTATTCAAATAAATTAAACTGTCTTAGATAATAGATATCTATGCTTTAGTCTATTTTTGATCATGCACTACTAGCCAAGACTATTCCGATAAGTTTTAAAATGTACTGATTTTTAGCTCACCTGGCCCAAAGGGCCAAGTGAGCTTATGCCATGGAGGGCGTCCGTCGTCCATCGCCCGTCCGTCGTCCATCGCCCGTCCAGCGTCAACTTTTTACTTTAAACAACTTCTTCTGAATAACCAAGAGGCCCTGGGTGATGATATTTGGCCAGTAGCATGCTGGGATATAGGGCTACCAAGTTTGTTCAAACGAATGACCTTTGCAGATTTTCAAGGTCACAGAGGTCAAATGTGTTAAAATCTTTCAACAACTTCTTCTGAATAACCAGAACCCAGGGTGATGATATTTGCCAAGGGACATGCTGGGATGAAGGGCTACCAAGTTTGTTCAATTAATTGACCTTGACTTATATTCAAGGTCACAGGGGTCAAATATGATTAAAACTTTAAAACAACTTCTTCTGAATAACCAGAAGGCCTATGGTGTTGATATTTGGCCAGTATATGATACTGTGATGAATGACCTTGACATAACATAAGTCAAGGTCATAGGGATAATACCAAAATGCCCTGGAAGATGATATATGGCCAGAAGCATGCTTGGATGAAGGGCTACCAAGTTTGTTAAAATGAATGAGTTTTGCCAATTTTCAAGGTCACAGGGGTCAAATATGTTTAAAATCTTAAAACGGCTTCTGAATTAATAACCAGAAGGCCTAGGGTGTTGATACTTGGCCAGTGGCATGCTTGGATGAAAGGCTACCAAGTTTGTTCAAATGAATGACCTTTACCCATTTTCAAGGTCACAGGGGTCAGATATGTTAAATATTTTAACAACTTCTTCTGAATAACCAGAAGGCCCATGATGTTGACATTTGGCCAGTGATATGCTAGGATAAAGGGCTACCAAGTTTGTAAAAATGAATGGCTTTGACCTTTATTAGAGGTCACAGGGATCAAATATGTTCAAAATCTTTCTTCTGATAGCCATAAGGCACAGGATAATGATCTTTGGCCAGTAACATGCTTGGATGAAGGGCTATCAAGCTTGTTCATTTGAATGACCTTGACCCACTTTCAAGGTCACATTTGGTCAAATATGTACAAACCTTCAAATGAACTAATCTCAATAAAGTAAGGTCAAGGGTAGTGATATTTTGCAACAACCTTGTTTGACTTTCAAGGTCACAGGTGTCAAATGTTTTAACATCTTTTAATAGGTTCTTTTGAATGATTTATAGTCATAAGCACTGATATTTTGCCTATAGCTTAACTTTAGATCCCTTTTAAGGTTACAAGTGTGAGAGTAATACCAGGTGAGCGATGCAAGCCCATTGGGCCTCTTGTTGTTCACTGTTACAATGCTGGGATATTGTCTGTTAAAACATGTTTTATTGAGATACACAACAAAGTCACCATGTCTCTGAAAGTGTTTAAAAGCATTTACATGGGAGGATCATTTTGTTTACCTTCCTTGCGATATATCATTGCAATATATTATTCGGTGTTAGGCCGGAAAATAACATTAAAAAAAAATGCACCTATGTGTGTCGTAAAATAAGAGCCAGCATTCAATCTTGTGTAATGAATCAGTAAAATATGCTGAAAGATAAAGATGGCTCAAACACAATAGAAGAAATGTGTATGTTATTTTATCAGAGATATACCCCTTGGGACCTGGCCCATTCACCGCTCTACATTACCCATGCTGCTTTGCACAAATTTAATTTCTTATGTAGAGTTCACCCACCCAATAAAGCAAAAGTGATTTTCTGTTTGTATCATTTGCCTTTACTGCTGGTAATGGTCGAAAGTTATGCAAATTATTGGTTCATATTATTGTGTTACAACAGACAGAATATTTAATTCTTATCATGAAAAGTGAAAAGTTTAGGTTTTATTGGTTGAGGAAGTGACAGGCATTAGGGAGTTAATGTTTAAACACTTGTATTTCATGATAAAAAAATGCAGTGATTTCATAAATTACTAGCTACCACAAATACTGTGAAGTCTTCCTAGATATATGTGATAATTGTTTATTGATTGATTTTTCATTCTGGAATCTATTTATGCAAATTAAGAAAGATAATATGTGTAGATGGAATGATTTATGTAATGCCTGTTGTCCTCCTTCACTACTGCTGAGGACTCGGCTAGGTCACTTTACAAGTATCTTTGGTCATTCAAGGTGGATATTAATGAGGCTTTATGCAAATTTTCGTCAGAAGCTAATGGTTTCCATGCCAACAAAATTAAGACCAGTTCCATTCTTGTGTTTTTAAGTGCCAAATAGTGATTCTATAGCCAATGAAACTGTTTGATAAATGGCTGAAATAGAGGGCTGTCACATCATTACAGTGTTAGTATCTCGGATGACTGTAAATGGGAGCTAGCCTCGTATGTTGTCCACTGTCTGTAGGTGCATACTGGCTCAAGCTTATTCTATGCTAATTTTTATGGTCCACAATTGACACGAAAATGTATACCTCTATAGTAATTGTTAGAGTGGCGGTCACATTGTTTGGTCAGTGTGTGAGAGAGAGGTGTTGGTCATTTTATCATCACAGCCCGTGAGCCCAGTGGTTGGTCAGTAATTATCCAGTATTGTTTGTAATGTGAATGGCAGAGGGTTTATCTAGCCTGTTGGTATTATAGAGTCCTTTATCTTGTGTCTCCACGGCTAGTTACTATACAATAATTAATCATTTCATTAGGTCAAGAAGACTGTCCACATGGCTGTGTGATCACTCTGACCAGGACTGCACAAAGACTGGACATCAACAATTGAAGCTGCTTGGGTTAAAACGAAAGTTCTCAAAAATTTGTGAATGCCATCACTTCGATCGCCTGTACATCAGAGGTGTGGCCAAATATTGGACACAGTTCCACCTCGGTAACACTGGACAGAGACAGCTGGTTAACTGTGTCCACATACACCTGCAGACGGAAATACAGGTAAGCATTTTAATGAGAGTTTTTATAATAAAAAAATAATTAAAAAAAATATAGCAATCATGATAAAACTAATTCATGTCAACTATGGAGTTCATAGCAAAATAACTTGTTATGCAGTGTTCCTTATTTTGCAGTCGTCTTCACTGATAATGTTAGTAAGAATAGTATACACCCCTACCACAGCCTAAATTTAGCTGGGTATGGTTATGTCTCCCAATGTGATCCCTTCTGGGTCCCCATGCCAGCCCACTATTGTCCTCGGCCTGTTTAGAGGTCTAATTAGGCTTTGTTTTGTAAAGGGATAAAAGGTTATACCTGGGAGCAGTGTTGTATCTGTCTATTGTGGCCATTGTCTCACCTGGACTGGTCAGTCTTTGGCCTGAGCTTTAATGTCAAGTTTGTGAGCAAGCGCAAACATGGCTACATTAAAACTATTGTTTTGTCACCGGACATTGGTGATTTGCTTGGAGGCTTATTATCTGATTATATCAGATCCACTGCTTGACCCAGCCATTCTATACCAGACACTATTGGTCTGGACACTGGTCAAGCCTGCTGTCACATACCTGTGAATGTCCAGCTCAAACAGTGTGGAAGATTTTATAGTTGGCCATTGGTCAATAAAACCAGCGTGGAGAGTTAATGATACTGACCATGAGGAGGTCTGTACAGGTGAATATCTCACCTGGTGCGATAATGGTTCGCAATTAGTTACAAGGTCATTCTGTACATCTCCGTAAGGACAAAAGTAAAAGGAAGTCTAGAAACATACACATAATTTGTGATGATATTTCTTAACCCATCATATAAAAAGTACTAAATTATCTTCTAGTTCCAAATTTTTAAAAAGGTACCCCTGAAAGATTAAAAAAAAATCCCAGGAATCAAACAGTTTAAATATTCCAATTATTCATCAGTAGTTTTAAAATGTATTGCCATTAGAGTGAGGTAGGGAACTTGTGACATGTTAAAGTGAGGTAGGAAACTTGTCACATGTTACAGTGAGGTATGGAACTTGTCACATGTTAAAGTGAGATAGGGACCTTGTCACATGTAGCAGTGAGGTGGGAAACTTGTCACATGTTATAATGAGGTAGGGAACTTGTCACATGTTATAGTGAGGTAGGGAACTTGTCACATGTTACAGTGATGTAAGGAACTTGTCACATGTTATAGTGAGGTAGGGAACTTGTCACATGGTACAGTGAGGTAATGTACGTGTCACATGTTACAGTGACGTAAGGAACTAGTCACATGTTACAGTGAGGTAGGGAACTTGTCACATGTTACAGTGTGGTAAGGAACTTGTCACATGTAACAGTGCGGTAGGGAACTGGTCACATGTTACAGTGAGGTAAGGAGCTAGTCCCATGTTACAGTGAGGTAGGGAATTTGTCACATGTTACAGTGAGGTAAGGAACTTGTCACCTCTTACAGTGAGGTAATGTACGTGTCACATGTTACAGTGAGGTAAGGAACTTGTCACATGTTACAGTGAGGTAAGGAACTTGTCACATGTAACAGTGAGGTAGGGAACTGGTCACATGTTACAGTGAGGTAAGGAACTTGTCACATGTTACAGTGAGGTAATGTACGTGTCACATGTTACAGTGAGGTAAGGAACTAGTCACATGTTACAGTGAGGTAGGGAATTTGTCACACATTATACTTAACTTGTAAAACTTAAATGTTTTCATACAGATGTCCTTATCCTGTTATATATGATTGCTAAAAAACTTTATTTTTCGCAATTTTGACAGTATATCCTTTGACTGAAGCACTAATTAGATCTATCAAATGTATGTAGATCAACTTGCAAAGAAAAATGAATAAATTGGAATTTTTGAACTTTTGTATTTTTTTGCAAAGTCCCTTTATTCATCTATGCCATTGATTGAAAAAAACTTTTTTTTGTTCAGGAATCATTTGTTAGACTTCTATTAAACTGAATATGTGTTTGACCTTAATGTGTAGTCAACATCCAATCTGTATGATGACAAAACCACTCTTTTCTCAGATTTGAAGGAGACACCGGCCATATGAATGCAAAAAAATCAATTGGCATTATTTGTGAGTGGTACTATGTATGACATAGGATGACTGTAAAGTAGCTAACAGAGAAAGTCTATGACCGTGCAGCCCAATATATCATCCAGTTACTGCAGCACAATAAGACACACAGCTTTGTTCTAGTTATGAAATCTGATACAGCAGTGTATACCATAATTAAAAAACAATATTTGGCCTATCACCGGGGGATGGCTAGGTGTATATCTGTGTATATGTAGGCCGACCAGGGTTAGATCACACTCCATTTGTGTCGGCAGATGTCGCGTTTTTACTCTGGTGAATTTCCTAATTAATATGTATTGGATAAAAATGTGTATGATTATTTCCCATGTTGCTTTGTTTTGATGGCTAGATTTTGCTTATTAATACATTCATACAAAATCAATAAATACAGCACTCATTTTCCTGCGGAGAATCGACCAGTAATCAGCCCCACCAATTACTGGCATAGTCATGTTACACATCTCCAATCTTATAGCTTGGTGGTCAGTGTCCTCTAATGACCTCTACGGCCGAGTGGTCAAAATCTTTGTTGGACATCTATTGCATTGCTTGCATGCATAGTCAATCATTGAAAGAAATGACAGAAAATTATAATTCAGAGGTTGGACAATGTCACCAAGTAATTAAATTTGGTTTTTGATGTAATTAACATTCATAGTGTATTTCTGTTGGTCTTTGTTTAGTGTGCGATAATGGTATTCTTCAGGTTCTTTGTCCTTTGCGGTCAGAAACAGAATGATAATGACCAAAGGTTATAGTCTTGTGGTCAAACACTTGCACCAAGTATTGATTTGAGGTTTTAGATGCAGCTCTGTACAACTTTGTCTCAGTGTTGTGATGGGCAGTGTAAATGCATTTATTTACATGGAAATAATAGAGTTTGGTTTGATAATAGATATGAAAGTGTTGGGGGCAAGGGTAGGTGTAAAAGAGTTGGGGGCAAGGGTAGGTTTAAAAAAATGGGAGGTGGGTTACAAGGGTTAATGTAAAAGAGTTGGGGACAAGGGTAGGTGTAAAAGAGTTGGGGACAAGGGTAGGTGTAAAAGAATTGGGGCAAGGGTAGGTGTAAAAGAGTTGGGGGCAAGGGAGGTGTAAAAGAGTTGGGGGCAAAGGGAGGTTTAAAAGAGTTGGGGGCAAGGGTAGGTGTAAAAGAGTTGGGAGCAAGGGTATGTTTAAAAGTGTTGAGAGCAAGGGAAGGTGTAAAATAGTTGGGAGCAAGGGTAGGTTTAAAAAAATGGGAGGGGGTACAAGGGTAGGTATAAAGAATGGGAAGGAGGGGGGTAACAAGGGTAGGTATAAAGAATGGGAAGGAGGGGGGTAACAAAGGTTGGTGGAAAAGAATGGAAGTGGTGGGTTACAAGGGCTGGTGAGAAAGAGTTAGGGGTAAGGGAAGGTCTAAAAGAGTTGAGGACAAGGGTAGGTCTAAAAAAAATGGGAAGGAGGGGGTTACAGGGGTTGGTGTAAAAGAAGTGGGTGTGGGGAACAAGGGTAGGTGTTAAAGAGATGAGATGGGATGGATATGAAAAAGGTTTGGGCGAAGATGGATACAAAATTGTCTAAATCTATTCAGTAGTTTTGTATCCATGTCTCAAATTGACCAGTATCTCTTATTGTGACCAGTTTGGGAGTACCACATTGCTTAGAAATGACTGTCTTGTATGGCATTGTCTCACATTGGCAAAGTTAATTGTCTTAAAGCATTCAGGTTCCATAAATTATAACATTTCCACCTTTATTCTGCAGTCAGATAGTCTTTTATAATTTTGATTTTCTGTTGATTAATTCGAGAAAAGTGTACAAAATTAAAAATAGAAATGTAACTAGATTAAGATTTTGTGATTTATTATACCAAACCATAGTCCTGATAAGAAACCCATCAATGACATTATTTTCAAAAGTCATATAATAAAAATGATTAATTTAGTGGAGTTTTGATCTGTCTGAAAAAAAAGGAAAGAAAACAAAAATTAACTTGATGTAAATTGGGTTAAGATTTATTAGGTATTCTCGTGTATTTACAGAATTATGGTCCATTAGATTTTTTTTCTAATTTAACTTTTAAGCTGGTGGATTATTTATCTGGTACATAAATATAATAACTTAAACTTTAATTCAAAATGAAGCTTACATTAGAAAGATAAAAAAAAGTTAGAATATCAACCGTAGTTCATTTGATATTCTGATTTTCTCGTTCACTGCCATGTCTATGATTAAAAAGTCATTTCTGATTAGACGTGATTAAAAGAAGTTTTGATAAAATCTGCAATCAACGTATTGGAGCCATATAATGAATAATAAAATGATATGATTTTCACCTGGTACATGGCTAATTAGATTTTACCTGGTCAGGTGTTGAGGTGTACATAGAAGACATTTTCTGCTGACACTGTTGACAACATGCCTTTACTTGAAAATCTTTGATGAAAAAGTTTCAGATTTCTGTAGCTATTATTTGATTTATTTCCCCAATTATTCAAATGTTTGCCTATCTGCAATCTTTATAAGTTAGACAGCATAGAATTAATTAAATAGACAAAGAATACCCAAAACAGTGGAGACTGATTCACCATTTTAATATTTTTGGGAAGTTTAAATTTTCCGGCATTACATTTTTTTCTGCTTAATAACTGATTCCAGCTTGAATATCCATATTAATATTTTACATTTATCATTGTTAAGAAATTTCCTTTCAAAAAACATTTCTTTAAATTGATCATTTAGAATGATTTCATGTTAATTATGCAGACTTGGGTTCTCCCCGTGGATTCTGATCCTCACTGTAATGTTATTTACACCAAGTGATATGTACCCTGGTGTTGATCGAGAAATCCCCATCTTCTACAGTAGACCATAACAATCAGCTCTTTGATATTTCACCGATTTCTTATGCCAATTTAAGATCATTTTTTTCATTAACAGTGTTCCCT